TATATATATATATTTATTTCATAACAGGCGTTTAACAGCCTATCGAATTCCAATTTTATGATTATCAATGCTTAACTTGTAGTTTTGAACACCACCCAAAAGTCAAAAGAGCTCCTGGATCAAGTACAGCCTCCATGGAGCACATTTTGAAGAACTCACCCGCATTTGTGTAACATGGAGAGTATGCCACGGAAACCTCCAAGGTCAGCCCGATGGCAAAAGTACTCTAATCCATGATTTATCTATCACTGATAATATTTTACTTCAGCGTTGTGGACGCTGCGAGCCGGGTGCAAACATAATATCGACCAGCCAGCGCCGTGATTTGAACCTAGGCTACCTCATTGGAAGCCGAGCCTTTATCACCTGGACCACCTTGGCTAAATTATGATAATTGAAGAAAAATTCAAATTACTTGAATTCGTTTAATATTATTCTGCAGAAAACTCATTTAAAAATAAAATACTACCTGGCAAACACCCCATTTTTCATTCAGGTCTTTTACTTTTCTTTGAATTTGTTCTTTCTGATCAGGATATGAGTTTGAAACGCTGAAAATAAAGGAAATTTTTTCATTTTCTTCATGCATGAATGTGGATTATACAAGATGTTCTATAATAAAAATTCTTAGTACATATTTTTAGAGTAACTAAAAAAATGGTGTAATTAAAGAGTATGTAATTTTATTTTATAACCGTTGTTCAGCAGCCGACCCAAATTTAAGTTTACGGCTATCATTGTTCAACTCCGTAGCCTTGTAATTTTGAACCCAATCCAGAAGACAAGGGAACTCCTGTATCAGTACCCTCATAGGTAATGATTTGTTATGGGAACAGGGAGGACTTTGCGACCACGACAGATTTAAGGTGCATTAGGCATCATTTAATACACGGGGATTCTTCGGCCGGATGGATTCGGACTACGGTTTTCTCGAACACATGTCCAACGCCCTACCAGTCAGGCCGGACATGAAATGATGTAATTAAAAAAATATACCCATAGATGTTGCAATTTTACATAGGTGGTCCGTTCGCGTTTTAAAATATGCCTATCAGATTTAGCCACCTTTATCCAAATGACGAAAACTAGTTATTTGTAAAATGCAGGAAAAAATTTATTGTGCAGTGCTCAAAATAAATAAATAAAAATAATAAGCAAAAATAATAAACTATTTAAAAAAAACTTATGGTTGGATCTTCGCTACTCAGTCTTAATGGTTTGAGAAGATGACCCCAAATATGCTAATTAGTGTTTTTTTTGTTTTTTTGTTGTTTTTTTTTTCCTTTGGTCGTATGCCTGTTTTAGGCAGTGGGGGTGCGATTGTTCTTGTTTTTCAGTGGCGCCATCTATGACCAGGAATTCAACTTCTGCCATGCCATTCACACAACCACAACCCGTTTATAGAGTGGGTCACATTCATACACAAAGTAGAAAGGACATAGAACACAGAGAGAGAGAGAAAGATGCCTTGCCCGGGATTCGAACCCAGGACCTTTCTCATTCAAGGACAGTTCCCTGCCACCTCGATTTCAAAGGAATTATTCGTTCAATTTATTGAAACCTCGAAAGATAGATAGATAGATAGATTAAAAAATTCTTACTTTTCTGCCAGAACAAGAGCTTGTTTTAAGCGTTCCTCGGCAGGCTCAAGTTCTCGCTGTACAGCCTAAATGTGAACAAAAAAAATTTCCGTCTTAATGACATTGATTTCAACATTTATTTTAATGTTGACCAATTTATGTAAATTAAATCAAAGATTTTTCAAAGCATGATCAAAAAAATAATTTTAAAATAAGTCAAATAAAAGTAAAATATTTGAGAATAATTAAAAAAATAATATTTTAAATATTTATGCAGTAAAAAAAAGACCTATTGCAAAAATATTTTGAAAAATCATTAACTTTAGTCGCAAATTGTTTTGAGACTGAAAATATAAAATAAAAAAAATTTGAGTATTATTCCAAGAAAAGAAAATATTTTGTACATCAACTGTTAAACCGTTTTGAAAGTTAATTAAAGAAAGATTAATTTTTTATAGAATTAACTCCAGAAAGGCAAAATATTTTGAGAATGAAACAAAAAAAAATAATTACAATATTATTCCCAGAAAAAAAATATTTTGTGCATCAATTGAAGAAAATTAAACTCTTTTAAAAGTTAACTAAAGAAAGATTAATTTTTTTAGAATGAACCCCAGAAAGGCAAAATATTTTCAGAATAAAGCAAAAAAGTATTATTCCCAGAAAATATAATATTTTGTGCATCAACTGAAGAGTTAAACTGTTTGAAAATTAATTAAAAAAGATTAATAATTAACCCCTAAAAGGTAAATTATTTTGAGAATCAATTAATGTAAGACAATATGCTTATTTAAAAATGAAAAATAAACAAATTATTAATCAAGTAAATCTAAACAAAATCTTACTTCTTGTCTCCTTCTTAAAGTATCAAGATTCTTTATTTCTTCAACTAATTCTGATCCTTGTGACTGGCTTTTTTCGTCCAAAAACGCAATGGTTTCATCACAAGTACGATGTGCTAACATTAAGCTGTGATTGAATACATGAAAAGTGTATGTTAACAGACTGTCAAAAACTTATAAGATAATTTCAATACCACAAATTATTAAAAGTTAAGTTTTGTCATGATAAAACCTTTCTTGGAGGATTGAAATGAAAGAAAAACATCAAAATACACAGAAATTGACAGATCTAGAGTTTCAAGATAACAACTATTGTTATCATTTGTGTACAGTCATGTAAGAAAGAAAATATTTTAACAGGTGTTAAGAGTTTGTAAACATTTCTCACATTTTACTTCCTGTGAAACATTTCCTTACGGCATAAAGTAACTTTAATTAGCTTTTGAACTAACAGGCATTTTGTTCCCGAATTATTCTTAAAGTTATAATAAATGTAAGATTTTTAACACTCAGAAGTATTCAGAAAATTGCACATTAATTAAAATAATAAAAATAAATAAAAATGAAAAATAATAAAAAATAATAAAAATAAAAACATTATTATTTAATTAGTATATATCTCTTTAACAATAGTGTATAAGTTATTACCTGATTAAAAATTTCATTCGCTTCAGAAATGTATGAATAGAAAATAGCAGTTAACATGCTTCAAGCGCTCAAAAATAGGCTCCCATTTTCAAGACTTTCCAAACAATTGTTTTTCTCCCGTTTGTTATAAAATACTAATATACTTTCCCGTTTTGTTTTGAAAGTCATTTTTAGGCCTGTTAACGAAATCAAATTTATGTCTCTTAAAGATCCTATTAGCTTTAAAAATCGCTAAGGCTTTTATCGCATTCCTTTTCATTGCGATTTTGACTACATCGGGCAAACTAGACATGCTTTAAAATTTAGACTTAGGGAATACGATAGATATATCCGTTATCAAGAATATGAAAATACAACAATTGCTGCACATTGGTAGAATCTTGGGAATAAATTCAATTTCGACAGGGCCATAATTATTTATACCCCATTCACATTAGCTCATCTTGATGCCTTAGAATCTTGTCTTCTTTGTAATAATGCTGGTTTTCTTGTTAACAACATTAGTTTTTCACAACTTCTTCATAGCGCGTGGAAATGCATTTTACCCTAATTTGATTTTTCTGTTTTCTTGTTCTGTTTTTTTTTTTTTAAATCTTTTTTTTCTCTCGGCTACTGTGCTTTTTCTAGATTTGGTTCTCACCTTTATTTTCTCATTTTTCGTTAGCAACTTTAAGTTTTATATTTCAAATCACTTTTCTTTCTTCTTATTCTCACCTGGCAAGTCGTGAAAATGAGCGTCTATTTTTGAGCGCTTGCTTGTCGACATTTTATTTCCTATTTATATATCTTTGAAGGTATTTTAATCGGGTAATACCTTACAGCTTCGTGGGATGATATATTTAGTATATAATATATTTTCCCAGGATTTTATTTTTAAAATGAATATTTACTTTCACTATTATGGACCTAGTTCGATAATGATTTGAAAAAAACATGCAATGAGAGAAGTAATGCTATTGTATTAAAATGCTTTTTTTTCTTCGTATCAAATGAAATTTTGAAATTAAACATCAAATGAGTATTGAAAAGAATTTGCCAAGTTTTCGAAATAGAATTTTTTATTCTCTGATGAAGAAAACAATTCTCTTCTATAGATTTTACTAGTGTCATTGTTTGGATATCCCTTATTGTTTTATTGTTAACTTTATTGTCAACTCTAAAAACTCTTGTTATCTCAATTGTTAAAGTGTAACAACAAACCTGAGCACCATTGGTATTGGTCAGTAAACGGGTGGATGATTACTTTGATCAGCCTGTTGAGGGTGCGCGATATCAGTTCTCGTAAAACTGTTTTACTAGTAGAGCCCTCGAATTCGCTCGTAGGTGGTTGGGCTAACAATGAGACGGAGCCATTTATTCTGCTTAAATCACAATTGTGATGACATATGTTCCAATTATCCCCACAGATCTTTCCTGGATAATAATTTACTACAACTATTCAGTCTTGTCAGGTTTCTCTTGAAGGCTGGATGAGAAGTTGCATATATTTATGTCATACAGGGTCATTGAAAAAATTATATAGCCTCCTCGGTTACCCGACCTATCATGTCTTGATTTCTGGGGTCATATGAAAACACTGGCTTATGATACCCCTGTTGACATGACTGAGGAGCTGATTGCTAGAATCTCAGCAGCTGCCGGAGAAATTCGAGATATGCCTGGAGTATTGCAGAATGTTCGAATGTCCATGCGCCGGAGATGTGAGGTGTACATTGTAGACGGTGACAGAAACTTCGAACACTAACTTTGACCCATGTACCATGTAATTTTTTCATTGCATTATTAAAACGATTTCTCACTGGCGGGCTCTTTTCTTTATGGTGCTTCTGTGTACATCACCGCTTCAGGAAAGCATTTCCGACCCCGCATTGCTATATGATTTCGAGTCGTCAGGATGTCCCCTACCCCTCTTAGAAGTTCTGAAACGCTTAACTGAGACACCCTGTATATATA